TTTCGAGTTTGAGGAATTTTTTAACAGTTACGATGGAAAATACACCTTTTCGTATTATATGAAAGTAGGTGTTTCAGGAGGACTATCTTTGAGTTTGTGTCTGAACGTTACTTCTTTGCATGATCTACACATCCTTGTATAGAGTTATTTCCTTCCTTTCTTTGGAAGACTCCCTCATCTTTCTTTTTTTGTATCAAGATGGAGTAGTAGAAAGCCAAAAACTTTCTTTCTCAATTACTTCTCATCCAAATACACGTCGGCAACATTTTTTAATTTTTTTGCGCTTATCATTCGAAATTTCATTTCAATAAAAACTTCTATTTTACTGTTACAACGAAATTTGTAATTATCTACAAGTTTTCCCAAAATCTTATCTAGATTGACTGGCCTACTAAGATGAGGAAAAATACAAGTAAGTAAAAGTCTACAACACTGGAAATAAATGTCATAATGCTGAGTATGACTACTACTTCACACTATTAAAAAAAAAACTGATTTCGAAGATCCCTTGTTCATATACTCGAAAAAAAATTAGCCCAGTCGAATTAGGATTTGACAACGCAAACATTTTTACTGGCAATTTTTTTTCGGAATTCTTTGAGGGGGGCGCGTCACTGGCAGTCTAAATATATGTTCCCCGGGTTCCCGTTGCGTCACCCGTCACCTTGAATTTACGAGTTAATTTTTGCTTATTGAATAACCCGGTTTAATTTCGATTTAACATGAAAAACAGTTACTGAAAACAAAATCATTGTTAAATGTTCTCAATTTTGGTTCTCATAATTTTTTCCCAGAATTGATTCATACCCAAAAAGTGGAGGTGAATTTTTATTATTGGACAATTCGTTTATTTTCAATTTCACGAAATAAAATTGTTTCGTAGAAAAGATTTTTTTCGATTCATACCCGAAAAAACGAGGGAGTAAAATCTTATTGTATCATCACGTTTTTAGTCTTAAATTTTGTTTTCGTAGTATCGTTATTTTTCGATAATTCCCCGAGAAAAGGAGGAGGTAAAATTTCATAATTATATTATCATGTTTATTTTCAATTTCACGAGAAAAATTGCGATGAAGTTGCTGAAAATTGTATTTCCTACAATTTTGGTTTTTTTCAATTTTTTCGTAGGATCGTTATTTTTCGATTTATATCTAAGAAAATGTGGAGTGAACCTAAGATTTCTATTATCGCCTTTATTATTGATGTTTTCGTATAATTACTTTTTTGTTTGTTTTTTGTTTATTGTCTTCGAAAATTTGATGTNATTTTCAGCTTGGTGGGAATTTAGGTAGCTTCGAATGTCTAAATTGACCGGACTACACTATCGACTAGAATTATAAAATTACGTGAAGCCGACAGATTCAATGTTATACATTGTTAGAATAGATTGTTATAAGTCTTTTGAAGTAGACACCTGAAATTTTTTTTGATGATCCTGCAAAAGAGTCAGTCCTCAATATTTCCTGTGGCCGTCCAAGATTCTGGAATCATTCTGAAACATACAAAGTAGCTCAAAAAAATGGATGTAATGATAGTTCTGGATAAACAACCACACTTTTTGAAATCTACTGATTCAAATATAAGCTGTTATATACCCACAAGCATAGTTGCATACATTTCTTTGAGTAAACCAGTATGCTGCAAAACTATTTAAAAGCCTAATATATTCACGATGAGAATGAAAAATTATATCATACTAAACGCTTGGGAAGTTCCTGACTAAAGAAAAACACATGAAGATGCTACTGCAAGAGTTGATTTTATAAAAAGACGTTATATACAAATATTTTGAGATAGATTGGAAATGAAAAATTGAAGGTGATTCAGATGTTGGAATCAGGACATTTTGTGATAAAATAAGTAAACATTTGTTGAATTTTTAACTTTTTATAACCACTAAATACTACATTCAAAACTCATAGTTTTACGTTTACCTACTAGCATATTTGCTACTTGCCTTCATTAGTCGATTTTTTGAGATACTTCCCTTCCATGAAGTTGTTAAAATATTACTCGATTTATAAAATATTAAAAAATTTTGTGTTTTCAACGCTTTCGTCTTCGGTGAAAACAAATTCACTACAAATACTTTTCGTCAAAGTTCCTACTCAACCATTTTCAGTTTGGGTATCTTCTTTACTATCTCTCAGTATGATTGTGAATTGGGTTAACTGTTGTCCCAAATAACTCGAATTGAAATCATGGATAATTGAATAGAACTGGTCCATACTTGATGAAAATCCATATCAAAACTAATTAATACAGTTCATTGTATGATTTTCACTATGAAGGGTTTTACAAAAGCCGCGACACGTGTTACGCTATACAATAGCTTTAGTTTACGCTTGAGAAAGCTATTGTATAGCGAAACACGTGTCGCGGTTTNTTTTGCATTCCTTTAATTTTTATTTATTCAATTATTATATTTTTACTTGTAGGTTATTTCACTATCATTTCATTTCAGGTTTATTGTTGCTTAATATAATTGTTATTTTCAACTATTCATTTTTAATTCTTCTTTTTTAGTTGTTTCAGGGATTTCAAATCATTTTATATAGTAGACAATGGAAGTCCGAACTAGTGAAATTCAGCTATTCCAAGACGTTTCTCTATTCACTTAGAATAGCTGCTTTTACATTGCTAGTTGCTGATTTATTGAGTTGTCCTTTTTTAAGCTCATTATCTCAATAAATATATACTCTATTGTGTAGTAGTGTATACTGATGGCTACAGAATTGTGTACTCTATTCATTGATGCCGTCAATTTTTTTCCCGATTTTATTATTTGCCTCGTTTTAGCTTATTACTATATGATGCTTTGAGCGATTAGAACACAATTGTTGTTATTATTGAAATGAAAAAGTTGTTCAACTATTAATAACTATAATTAATACAAGTTGAATCAAACATTAGATGTTCTATCAGATTACATAAATAAACCGAGCATAAACATTTTTCATATAATATATTTCACACTTGGATTCGTTAAACGCATGTTTGTTTCCATTGAATGAAAATAACAAGTAGGTAATGAATAAAGGCTGCCTGAGTCAGATAAAAAAAGTAGTTTCATTAAACCAGAGTATTTGAACAGTTCCGATAATTTCTTTCGATACCTGAATAACTCATATATTATTTCATATATTACCAATAGAATTCCAAGTCAAATTTTGAAATGCACTTGAAAAAGCTTCTTTTTACGACCTGCATGCACTATCAAACCACCATCCTAGTCAGAAGATAGAAGTCATCTCTACTCTAACTGAACGAGCTCGACGAATATGTTGACCAGAGCATCTAGAAGAAGAACTAGAACATCTTCAATTGACCTTGAGATCGAATGGATACAGTGTACCCGAGATCAACAAGGCCATGTTTCAAAACAGGAAAGAGGTTCAGATGGTTGCATGGGCGTATCTACCGTATATCCCTAGAGTCATAGACAGAATTGGAAAACTCTTCGGGAAACACAACATTAAAACGGTTTTCAAATCCAACAACAAGATACAACAAAGCCTCAGGTCGGCTAAAGACAAAAGAGACCCACTACCAGCAGCAGGGTATGTAGTAGTAGTAGCAGACTTTATTTTAGGAATCCTAATATACAATATATAGTTATGCATATATGAATAATTTATATACGTATATACTTTTACAGTACGTCATGTATTATAATTTGATATAAATCTAATAATAACTTTTTGAATACTTTTACGGAATTTACATGTTTTATTTCATCAGGTAACTTATTGAAACTATCTAGACCTTTAAAGAACAATGAATTCATTCTACTATTATAGTTTGTTCGGGATATATAAAATGTATTAAATGTTCTTGTGTGAATGAATGTCACTACATATTACGAACTGAATATCTGCTAAGTCGTATCCCACTCGTAATTTTGAAAATAAAAGTCACCATATAAAATGGCGAAAAATCGATCAGTATTCTATTTGATTTGTCACGTGCATTTGATACCATCAACCATCAACTTCTCCTCGATAAACTTTATGATACTGGAATTCGCGGCCAAAGTCTAAAATGGATTAAGACTTATCTGACTGGCAGATCACAATCTGTTAAGGTTAGGNTATGGTGTGAACCAGGTACATAGTTGATATCATTTATATGAATAATGAATAGCAGTGGTCTCAAAACACTGCCTTGTGATACACCTATGTCATTTATAATTCGATCTGACATTACATCACAAATTTTAGTGCTTTGACTAGTTGACAAGTTAACTATCTAACCAACTTAAAGCTTTTTCATATACACCATAATACTTCAGTTTATTGATTACAGTTTTCCTATTGATTGAAAGGGATCATGCGGTTTCCATCACTCAGTGATGGAAACCGCATGATTTTGTTTGAAAACACGAAAACTCATTGCCCCCAACCATAGTCGACTGGAAAGGGAGGCAATAGAGATCCACAAACACATGGATAGTTTCTATAGAAAAGAAGAAGCTGTAAACTTCAACTGAATATGGAATTTCATTCTATGAATGAGACAGGTAGACAAAGGGTTAACGAATGTTATTGTCAATTTACATAATCCAGGTACAGGAATTAGCACACTGAATCAACGGTCTTGAAACTCGAAAGAAAATAGTGTCACTTTCATCTGTTGTTAAATAAATAACATTACAAAATTAGTCTTTCAAAAATTATAACCTGTTCCACTTGCACTGAGAAAAAGTTAAAGGCTTATAATGACGAGGAAGCTCCAAGATATTCAAAATCTCGTACAGGACCGTAATTCCTAGATTTTGCGCGTACCGCATTCTACAAGGTTGTCGAACAAAATATTAGTTTTTCACAGTTTAATCTGGGAATTGCTATGAGGAATGCCGAAAAAGTTACTGAAAAATATTTTGGCAGAACAAAAAAAAATTAAATATAGAAATTCCTCATACAACTTTACATTATCTTTCACTGTATGAGAATAATCAAGCACCTATATGTTAAATTTTGAATGTTTTTAATGAAACTCACCTCTTCCACTACTTCCTTAACGTCGCCATTCTTTTCGTTATCTTTACTTGGTTTTGATTTATCTTTCTTCGAAAATGATATGCTCCTGAAAGACCACTTCTTCTTCTTACTCTTTTCCTTTTGTTTTTTCGATTCGGCTGTTTCTTCAATTTTACTTTCGCTCACACTTTCAGGCGTCTTATCTTCCGTGGCTGCTGTCTCGCTCAACTTTTCAGCTAAATTTTCCGTGTCCGGAGTTTTGACCTCTTCAGATTCTGATACACCGTTCTCCTGTACTTTTTCGTCGGTATCCTTTTCCGCAACTGAGTCCTTTGCATTTTCATCTTTATCCTGAAATTGGTAACGATCAGTAACATTTACACCACAATATTCACGATGAAATAGGGCACACTTATTTATTTTTAATTTTCAAGAACAGGTAGTTTTTTATGTTGTTACGAATGATCATATTCGGCAGAACGAAATTAGGAATGCTTTAAAGAATTACTGAAGTGGATAAAATATTTTTTTCAACATGTGAGTACACCCAAAAATAGAAAAAACAACATGTTCGTTACTTGAATTCAACTATATCCTCTGAATTTATATGGATAAAGATATCTTGTATACATGCTTCGATTCACAAATCAAATCGGTGTCTTAACATCACTGGACTGGACTTTATCTCAAAACAGTTTTTGCCAATTGATTTTAATTATTTATTTAGTATTTATGTATATGTATGTTGTATCGTAGCTTAATTTCCAACTGCGGTTTTTGTATATCAACAGTTACGATTGTTATGTATTAGCATTCTACAAATGGAATAATTTCATTATTTCGGTTACAGCACATGTTTTTAAAAAAACTCGAAACACGTCAAATGTAAATTACAATTTGACATTCTTCAATGGAAAACTGCCACCCCTATCTTCAACCCCCTTCGAATGACAGGTGCAACCCCCAATTTTTTAAGTTAAGTGTGTAAGTTTGTGATATATCATTTGAAAGGTATCTATCTTCATTCTCTATTCAAAAATGTTATCGCTTTCAAGTTTGTTGCAACAATTAAGATAAAATAAATTAAAATCATGTGGTTACTGAAATTCGAAAAAATACACTCAAAAACTAAAATGTAATGCAAAAAGTAATGAAACGTAAAATAAGAAAAAGAACTATGGATGTTAACGAAAAAGATGTTCAAAATATTTACCACGAACGTCTTGGCATCATCCTAATATCAAATAAAACTGTCTTCTAACATTATTTAACATATCAGACATGAACGACCTAATCGAAAGCTTTATTCGTTCTTTTGAGTCATCCAAATCTGAAGGGTTAGTTTAATACACATTGCTCTTTACGTATCCCCATAAAAAAATCTAATGATGGAAGATCAGGCGATCGAGCTGGCCTTTCCTCGCCTCCCTATCCACCGATTGGGAAATGTTGTATCGAGGTATTGCCGGACATTAACTTATTAATGTGGTGGTGCTGTATCCTGCTGAAACCATATTGTATTCACCGAAACTTGAGGGTTTCCCAGATTAGGATATAAATTTGCTAAACTTAGAATGACATAAATTTGAAGTACTGCCAAATAATTATCGCCAACATTAACCTTTCGAGGGTATTGCGTGTGTTCTTCTTTCATCGAGTGAAGATTTTCTTTTGAGCAGTAGCGGCAATTTTGCCGATTAGCATTACCGTTAAGAGAGGTAATTGGATGATATTGTTATCCAACAGGTCCATCATTTGTTCACAAAAATAGTAGAGGTATCATTTTATAGGGATGCATTTGATTTTCTTTCAATATGATTACTATCGATGTATGGCTAACATTGAATGTAGTGGATGCCTGTCTACTCGATATACGTGGGTTTTCGTCAAACTCAAGCATCACATCTAATTAGAGTTCATCACTCATTGCATTGGCAGCTGCTTTTTTATATGCCCCACATGACCAAGCTCGCGAAACTGCTTCTCTATTTTGCTTTCGTAGAGATTTGGGAGGTAAATTAGTAAATTTCTCACGAAATAAAACTGTTTTTATGCATATCCGTTAATCTAACCATTTGTCAGACTTGAAGTTAACGAACTTTAAACTTAAATTAAAATACTGACAACTAATTTAACATACAAAACAAGTTGAGAAGGCGTTTTAAACTAATGTTGCCACGGAATTTTTTTACAGTTTTTTTAAAGAATACTATCTAAAAAGAACATTGCTATGGTTTTTGCTTACTTTTTTATTATCAATACCCCAACATGAAATTCGTTTTGAATATATTGCAATGACTTGAAAGTGATAACATTTTTGAATAGAAGATATATCACAAGCCTATACTTCCCATTCAAAAAATTGGGGGTTGTACAGGGGTTGAAGGTAGGGGTAGTATTTTTCTGTTGAAGTTTGTCAAATTATCATTTAAATTTGACGTGTTTCGGGATTTTGTTAAAATATGTACCGTACCGTAACCGAAATAATGAATTTATTCCATTTGGCTTTTACACACCGTATATTCTCTTTATGTTGTATCCATGTATTTAGATTTCTTTTCTCTTTTCTTCATCATGATTTCCTACCACGTAGTAACGGCTACATCCATCAATTTATTTCGCATTTATAAGTATGGATTTTCTGTATGCCAATGTGGTGTTCTGATTGTAATCTCAATCAAAGAAAACATTTTGCACACAATAAAAACTTCAATTTCACTGGTCTGTTGTTCCAAACGATTATTGAGAATAAAAATCATTTTTGACATTTTCAATAAACCATGGATTGTGCTTTTCATGGCTCTTTTCATATTACATTTTCTTACCTCGGCTCGTCGATTTTTCTTGCTTCTTCTAATGCGGAATGTTTTTCGACTTTGTGGTTTGATTCTCTGTAACTTTGATTTGTTGGGATATATCTCTCCTGAACTATCGTCGGCAGGACTAGCAGGACTCAAAGGAGTCGTAGAAGTTTCACCTGATAAACGAATAAACGTAGAAACTTGACCCAAAAATAAATTGAACATATACTCACAATCAATATTTACAATCAAACTGTTTCACGAGTACTACAGTGTAAGATGCTCAAACGTTTGAATCACATAATACATTTAAACCACTACTTTGATAAATATGAAATGAAAAGCAATGGGATTTACCTGAAGAATGTCTAAATTCTACGGAAGATACAAAGCGGAGTTTATGAGCCTTGTGTGACATTAGGGATTCAGATTTTGGTAGAGTTAGAGGTACACCATGATCATCACTGACTGAAGATCTTTGAGAAGATCGATCTGAAACATTCACATGCATACATCGAAAAGTGAATACTGGAAGACGATGTGGGTCACCATCTAGTTTCTAAAACAGTTAATTTATTTCAGCTCGTTATTGAATGATCAAGAATTAGTAGGTTTTACTTCAAAAATTAGTGCCGCTTTATATTCGATCCACTGATATTGCAATTCTATTATGTAATACTGATTGTATTCCATATTCATATCTTCATTATATGATTTTAACTAGATCATTTATAACTATTTTGAAAATATTTGGACCTGAAATTGGACCCTGAGGAACTTCAAATCATCACTAAATCAAGAAATAATATTCCCCCTAACTCATTTTTTACAGTAATAAATATTCCCCACATTCTACTGGGGAGAATCCCAACTTTGAGCGACCCTTCGGCAGACAAATTCAGGTAGATGTTAGTGTTTATCATTATAAAAATATTTGACGGTGACTGGAATAAATAACTTCTAGTCCGGTCAAATTAGACCGAATAAGAAGAGTAAAGCTACCTAAATTCCCACCAAGCTGAAAATCAGTAAGATTGTTTAAAATATGATTAAAAATGAAATTTGAAAGTTTTCAATNAAGAAGAAGAATTTGAAAGTTACGACTTGGACGATTAAATTTCACTACTTTTTTTCAACTTAAATTGCTTTTATATTTTCAATCTCTGCTAATATCCATTATTTTGCAATAGTTTCAAATTAAACAGGATCACAACTGACCCGTGGAATAGGCCTACTGGTGAAACCACGTTTGAAAAAACGCGCAAAATACAGTAGTTAATCTCATAGGTAGCTTGGAAACGTGTCCATATTATAACAACTACAACTTTCATCGCGAAAAACTCATTTTTTGACCTTTGACCTTGAATAGAATTTTTTCCATACAGGGGAAAGATGGGGACCTTTCAAATTTCATTTTTAATAATATTTTAAACAATCTTACTGATTTTCAGCTTGGTGGGAACTTAAGTAGCTTCGAATGTCTAAATTGGCCGGACTATTCATGGAATAGCAAACATTTAAACCGATTTCTTGATACCATATTCTTTGATCATGGAATAACTGACCAATTATTCGAATTGATATTGGGTCTTACCAGGCTGAACAGGTGTAGTTCCATTTCCATTAGTTTCATGTACTTCACTCATACTCAGATTAGTTGCTTGATTTGGAGTTGAAACATGACTTGTGCTAGTTGAAGACTCTGAGACGAAAGTAATACGAGTTTCATACGTACGAGATCAGAAAGGTCAAAAAAAAAATGTTATCATAAATGATTTCCAAGCGCATTTCTTCATTTTGTCTGTATCTTAAACTAATATTGAATGAAATCAAATAAAACAGACCTGTACTGAAGAACGCGTTGAAAAGAATATTTTATCACATACCCTTCAAATGCGACATCATCTCATGACTTGGAGCGGATTTCGATCCATGGTGACCCTCTCCAGTGAATAAACCAATCAGAGAGTGTCTCTGGTGACGTGGAGGTACTTCTGTTGTCATTTGACATGTTGGACCTGTTTCCTTTTTAGTGTCACTTGAAGATTCGGTAGCTGAAAGAGTAGAGAGAATAAACACTAACGAGAAGTTTCGATTTAGTATTGCGCGGAGCTCACATTCATCTAGCTCTTCTTTCAACAATTTCATTTCTTGGGCCAGCTCCATTAGAAGAGCTCCCCTACTTTTCGGGAGTGGTAAACCAATACTCCGCATCTTGTTCCGAATCTTGGTGTGCATGTTTCTTTCGAAATCTGATATGGGTGGTTGGGCCAGCTTCAAAGAAAAAGCCAATTGGTATCACAATCATGAACAGCAATAAAAAATTGCAAGAATAACATAAATTGATGTTCAATTGACTTACATCAGTTGTATTTTATGAAAACTCAATCAGACCCATTTTAATGTAGTTCAGACTACTGAAAGTAGTTGCTTCCTAAAACATTTCTAAGAAATTGAGCTCTTACCTTCTGGAAAATGAAGGGTTGCATCAGAATATATAACACGGTTCTATGTGTGACTACAAAATCCAGAAAGTCCCATAAAAACGTAGCAGCTTCGTTTCTTTTACCAAGTTCTCTCATAGTTCTGCCAATTTTCAACCAGTCGTTCATCAACTCTCCTTCAAAGCAAATTGCCATAATCTTCAAAGCTGAAACAGAAAAATTTCAGTTGGGAGACGAATAATTTCGAAAATGTATCTCCATCCAGGAAAATCAAAAGTTGTCCTCACCTAAAAATGAAACCTGATACAATGAAGTATTGATCTTTGCCGAAGTCTTTGTATCTCTAGTACCGGTGAAGGTAAGACTACCGGTTCTAATTTCACCTGTTGGTTTGACGTTGGTTCCAGATGGCCCTGCAGATTTTGTATTCGGTGGACTCATAGCATGAAGGACCAATGTAAGGGCAAAACTTATGTCGCTGTGTTTCATTTGGGTAACATCTACGGAAAAATAACAGAATGATATCTGGTATAGGATTTTCGGTTTAACTAACCTTTTCTTCCTGAACCAACCCTCAGACATAGCGGCATGATAAGATTCATGATGATACTTTCAGTTTTATCTTGAGTTGGAAATATAGAACTTCCACCACAAACTTGCTCTAGGGTACAAGTATCCTGGTTGAAGAAAAGAAGAAAATCCGGAACATTATATGGACCCTGTTGATGCGAAATACAAAAATATTATTGAAATTCATAATAAAGAGCAGACATACTAATATTCGTTATTTTTAGTAGTTTAAGGCTGAAAACTATTTGAAATTGTATTTACTTGAGTATTTTGTATCTGTAGAGCTATCAAACGAACGACCATGGAGCAAAAGTGTGGTGGTGGAGCTTGACTCATGAGAGCTGCAGTAGCCCCAGAAACTCCTTCAGTAGAACAAGTGTCACTGACAATTAGTCCCTGAAATAACAGATATTGAATATACCTACACAGTAGGTTGAATGGACTAACGCCTATCAGAAAACAACTACTCCACTGGCTAATACCAAAAACGGCGTTGAATTATATCCGACAGGCGTCAGTGCTGGAATCTTCACAGAAATTTTCCTGCATATGTAATTGGCAATACAACTGAAAGAGTCGACCTTCAATTTTGGAACGGGCACACTTGCAGACCGGTTTCGGGCTCATTAGACACTCGTCAATTCAAGATAGTGGCCAACATCGACCTGAAGTCAATGATATTCCATAATTGAAAATCGAAATTCTGTCTGTTCTGTTTAGGTGGAAGTCATCTTGAATTTAGACAGGTTGGAGCCTGATTTCCTTACCCTTTGGACTGATGTTTGCCAGAAGGACAAACGGGTCATGACTGATGTGGGTGTTATGGTATGGCGGCATGAGTGTCCACAGACATCAGTACCGCCCTTCACGGTGTACCCCTGCCTGGCTGGGGTGAATTGGATGAAAACGTTGTTCATCTTTCAACGGAAGATATAGGGGCCTCATTCGACAGTTTCGGGGACTTCTATATCGGGAGGGGTCGTCTACAGTATAATCCATAGCTTCCCTGACTAATGGGTTTTCATGAGTTTCTGCACCATCGAAAATTCTCTGATTTCTCGACTGAATGGACTGCCGAATGGAAGGCAGCTGCAAATCTCTGCTGATGGCTTCATTCCACACGAACCAAGGAGCATTCACAATCATCCTTATTAGGTTGTTTTGCAATACCTCCAGAATGGTGATATTGGAGTTCGCCGCTTGTCCCCAGACGCCTGAAGCATACATGATGACAGGCTTGAACATCGTATTATAGATGGTAATTTTGTTTTTGAGACTCATTTTTGATTTTCTGTTGATCAGAGGGTTCAGACGTGCTATCCGACCCTCGATCTTTGATTTGACTGTCTGTTCTGTTTAAAATCTGTTCAGAGTATTTCATTTCTCATCTTAAGTTGGTGCAAACATCAAAAATGTCACTCCATCTAGTGGACAAAGTACTAACCAACTGCATATCCGAAATTTGCTCGATTCCTCTGAATAAGGAAGAAAAACTTTCTTATTAGTCAGTGGGCTAATCTAAACAATTCTAAAGAAATGAACTTTAAATGTTCAAGCCCGTCTCGGATATGCCTACACAGTAGGTTGAATGGACTGACGCCTATCAGAAAACAAACTGCGTCAGTGCATGGATCTTCACAGAAAATTTTCTGCATATGCAGTTGACAATACAACTGAAAGAGTCCACTCAAAGTCAATGATATTCCATAATTGAAAATCTAAATTCATTCAGAGTATTTCATTCCTCGCCTCAAGTTCGAGCGAACATAAAAAATGTCACTCCATCTAGTGGACGAGATACTAACCAACTACATATCCGAAATTTGCTCGATTCCTCTGAATAAGGAAGAAAAACTTTCTTATTAGTCAGTGGGCTATGGTTGAAGACAGGCAGTAAACAAATCTAAAGAAATGAACTTTGAATGTTCGGATATACCTACACAGTAGGTTGAATGGACTGACGCCTATCAGAAAACAACTACTCCCTTGTCTAATGTCACGAACGACGTTGGATTATATTCGACAGGTGTCAGTTCAGGAATCTTCACAGAAAATTTCCTGCATAGGTATGCAATTGGCAATACAACTGAAAGAGTCGACCTTCAATTTTGGAAAGGGAACACTTGCAGACCGGTTTCGGGCTCCTTAGCCACTCGTCTGTGCAAGATAGTGGCCATCATCNTAAAATTAGAGCTTTTTTGAATTCATCAGGAAAATATCCTTGGATGAATGATTGATTGAAAAGATAAGTGAGTGGGTCGATTATAGCATCTATTATGGCTCTTAATAGTACTCATAGATAGATCATCAACGCCTGATGACTTTTTATTTTTCATTAATTTTAGGGTATCATGTATCTCACGTTTAGTTATCGGACTTTCTTCGTATGGATGGAGTGATTATTTATGAGAGATTCGGCGGTTTTTGAAAAATGCTCAGCAAATGCTTCAGCTACTTCTGAGGGCTTCCCAATTGTTTTGGATTCAAGTTTTAGGTTGATGTTACTTTCAGCACAGGAAAACCCACGTTTGCCAAGCTGATTGTTTATTATATTCCACGTTTCCCTAGTTTTATTGGTAGCATTACTAATTTTTGCTGAAAAGTAGTCTAATTTACTATGCCTAAGTCTTTAAGTCTATTTTTATAATTAGACATGCTTAGCAAGTCAATTACTTGAAAACTAGTTAAGACATGGAACATTTCTCTCAAATATTTTCCCTCTTCGACAAGATCATTGGTTATCCAACGATAATGAAATATTATATACAATAATTAGTAAATGCAAAGTTCTTTACTCTTATAGACGGTTTCTTCGAAATTTTCTGAAACACTTTATCCAACCTCCTAAGAATAGTCACCAGTGCCGGTCTCATGGAATCGTTAGCCCATTCAGTTGATGGCAATATGTAACTCATATAATGTTGTAGTCCTCTGCATCCCATAGATTCAGGGTCGTATGGAGACACTTTCAGTAGAGTGTGTGCTATGTCAGCTAATCTCTGAAAGAATCAATATTAAGAGAACTATACTTCATATGAGAAAACTTTTATTGATTTTAGTACATGCAAAGCACATACACTTTTCTCATTATAATTTACTTTCGTGAACGACTACGTTTTTTAAAAATCATTTTCTAGAACACACTGTTTTAGCAGACAAATATAATTCAGTACCCAGAACATACCACATGTGACTTTATATCCAACAACTCAACGATTTTCCCATCCTGGTTGTTTTTTTTATTCAGTTCTTGCAATCTAGTCGTGGCCCTACACATAAACTCGCCGACAAGAGAAAGTAAAACGTCTCGAGGTCTCCTGTACTCTGCTCTGAGCACTTCCGAGTCTTCGACGTCATGTTCATACATACTCTTAGCTCTAGAGTGTTCGCTCATAAACTTGGAGTGAGAGTCATCTTCGAAGTCGAAACCGGGAGAATATGGCCCTCGACTGTAATTTTTTTGGCTTGAGCCTTTATGTTCTGGACTGGAACGGTAGGGTCCGTTGTAACTCCTGGAATGATCATTTGGGTTGTGTAAAATGATATTTGGTTGACATACCAAATCAAAAAATCTTATTTTCAAAACTATTTCTATTTATTCCAATAATTCAATATGTCTAGAGAACATAACTTCACTATGAATTGACTACTATTCAGTTACAACAGACATATGGATTATTTCGACCCAAAGTTCTACAAGCAACGTCCATCCAAAAAGTATATCAAATACAGCAATTAGCTTGTTTAAACATCACAGAAGCCATGAGAACAACGCCAACCACGGCAATGGAATTAATTACTGGTCTGACCCCTCTGGACCTGTACGTTAAGGAGGTTGCGTTAATGGCCATGTTATGATTACGCACGGCTGGTGTAAACCTCGAAGTAGGAATGGGTCAATTGAGGCTGGACCTATGGCGAGAAGAGCTTATTGCGTAACCTCTGCTGCAGGCAGCCAGTGATGTAATTGAACCCAGGTTTGTGTTCAATAAACCCTACAAAATACAAATAAAACAGATCCCAGAGTAAGATGCTACAAATGTAAAACCCATATATATAGACGGCTCAAAAACCAAAGAAGGCTCTGGATGTGGAGTGTACTCCAGAAAGATTAAGTGGGAAATGGGCGTGGTTCAAACAGAACTGGCTGGTATCTCAATCGCCACAAAAGAAATAACCAGGAAAGGAATTTCTGGCAAAGACATAACAATCTGCACTGATAGCAGACAAGCCCTATTAGCTTTGAACAGACTACGTATTACCTCAGGGTTAGTACTAGAGTGCCACCAAGATTTAGCCAAAGCCTCAGTAGATAATAACATAATCTTGAGGTGGGTAAAGGGCACGACAGGAGTAAAGGTAATCGCATTGCCAACTCTTTAGCCAAGGAAGCGGCTGGACTAAGAATTTTAGGACTCAGTGGCACCTACGGCATGATGACTTCGACAATTGCGAAATTAGCCAAACGACACACCCATGCTCAATCCCTAAAGAGATGGAATGGAATCAAAGGATACAATTTTGCCAGGATCACCTTGAGCGACCCTGGGAAGCTAGCGCCGAAGAAATATCTGGCGGTGACCAGGAAAAACTATGATTGGAGTTCCAGGCAGAATGGTATGTGATTTGAAAATAAAGTTTGTTGAACGACAATGCATAACTGAAAACACGAATTTTTGTTGATAAGTGAATATTTAGAAATTATTGCTTCTCACTTTGTTAATGCTTCACAGTTATTCACCAAAGTCCTGATAGCAACAGCTAGCTGGTTGATGATTTCCTTTTCAGTCTTTCCTTCTTTATTGTAACTTGGCAACTGTATTTGCTTCACATAACAGGGCAAAATTGCTTCCAAGATTATCTGAAAAAACAACGTTCAAGATTTTCAAGCTCAAATTGGAATGGAAGCAACTACTAGAATAAATATTAAAATTCGCACAACAAATAAAATGAATTGTCACCATTTCAAAGTTATTAACTTTACTCACCAGCATTTGGTAACCTCTCACACTCTCGGAAGAATAAGAAACAACCATAACACACATAGATATGCAATCTAGTATAGTAACCATCTCATTTTCATCGTGATAACAGAAATCTATGGCTTTCAAAGGTTTTTCTTCCTTCACTAATTCTGCTATATTCAGAGGATCAGGAGAAGGAGTTTCCAGACTCAGGAGCAGATTGAATAGACAGCTAGATTGAATCTGAAAAATCATCATGAAATTTTAAGCCACAACATATCTTAACCTCGCTTCAATAGAAGTTTCTTTAAAAGAATATAACAAAATGAATTGTTTCAAAGAACCTTATGAGCATCTCCGTAAGTGCCTTCTTCTTCAGTATCTAACATTGCCGATACAGAACCAAACATTTGCAAAATGAAAGGTTTTCTATTCATCAGATAAAATTGTTTCACAGCATATTCTATAGTTGTAGTGATCAGTTTATTCGTTTGATGATTGGAATAGATTTTAAGCAAGGTTGGCATTATGAGAAGGTATCTAAAAGCAACAAAAGATTAGCAATTTCAAAAAAGACAATGAAAAAATAAACCCAAATAAACAATATTTACCCGTTTGTGGAGAATATGTTCTTGAAATGGAAGGCAGCATTTATATAAGTAGCCATAACGTATCTCAATATACAGGCGTCTTCAGAATGTAAAACCAAAGCACCGTTCAAAACATTCACAAAGAGATGGATATCACCAGAATACGCAAAATTTCCTGCCATAGCTTCAAACATTCTAGCGATGAGCCTGACCCACATGAACTTATGCAGAACATCCAAACCAAGAAGTTCTTTCCCTAAAGGTCCACTCTTATACAGATCCAGATCTGATTCCAACGCTTTCCTAGGAAAGGACGGTAATTTCATGAGCTCCTCGTGAAGAAATACCACTCTCTGCACAACCATGTCTACGTTTTTCAAAATTGCCCATGTTAAGAGAACTTTGCCTATTTCAACGAATTTGTGCAAGAGCTCCTGTTTCTGCAAGGCATTGAATGCAATCTCTGGTTTCATATGAACCAGTTCCAGTTGTGGATATTGCGATCTCTTGAAGAAATAATAGTCCCGAACATAAGATGAAGGGTTTCTGATTTGGTCTGAAATGAATGTTCAGTAAACCTTTTCTTTCTCTTCTTTCGTATATGACTTGAAATGTCTGATAGTACTCACGAGTTTTATAATCCACCAAGAAGAATTCCTTGTGCCTATTCTCGTCGATGCCAAAGAAGTCTAATGCTTCTCTCAATATTTGACAGAACTGGGTATCCTCCTGTACAGGAAACTGTGAAGGAATACCTGCAGCGTCAGGATCTACGAATAAAAAAATGAATACTTTTCCCTCAGCAATCTGTCAATGAAAGGTGGTAGAAAATAATCAAACCTTGAGGTCCGTGGACGATAATTTTTTTGGCAGAAGGAACATTTGCTGTAAGCAGAATGGATGCATCACACTGCTCCTTCCTCAGAATCTGTTTCAGATCTTTGAACATAATACCATGAACGCTATGAACCACCTATAATTCAAAATTGGAACCATATTGGTTATGCACTTGGTTATGCACTTACCATCCACAAAAGTGAAAGGGCTGATCCAATCAACTGTTGGCCATCCTCATGAGGACTTCTTACATAAAACATAACATACCCTATGATATAATTATACAAAGCGAAGGCTGCTTGTTGAGGTAGTTTTGGAATGAACCTTATTAGATGTCTCAAAATCTTGATCATCAAATCCTGTTTCTCTCTAGTTAATCTTTCAAGAATGTATCTTAGGAATAAAGCGCTGTCTTCTACCAAACATGTCCATATGACTTGGTAAGATACTTCATAAACAGCGTTGCCATCAGCTGAGACTGCTGCATCATCCAGAAGGTTGATAATTTGAACTACTGCTGAACAAAGACAAGAAGGAAATAAAGAATGAGCAGAATGAAGATGATGGCCGGTATTCCTGGGTTGACCGTCAGCTTGTTCGTCATCAACTTAAATTATTACAAAAATTAGAATATAGGTATTTCCACAAGAATGCATTTACCTTCTTCATGTTCTTCGCTGGTATGGTACAAACTTGGTTCATGGGCCGCTTGAACTGTAATGGGAATAGTGGTTATCAGAAATTTTTCCCTTTCCTCTCTTTTCTTGTCATCTTGAGCTTGTAGAGCCATTTTAATCAGCTCTGTTTGTTGCTTCTTCCTGGTTTTCGTAGCAGTTACCAGAGATCTCTGAAATAATAAAAAATATATTCTATAACAAAAACTGGGAATATTAACAGGTTAGTTTCTCACGTGTCTTTCCTGGTTGATGGTTACTTCCTCAACTTTAGTTTTTACTAGAAGTTCCCAAGGAGAATCGACTACATCCAAAGATTCAATACCAATTTTAGGAGATGGTAACGTGAATTCAATCCCTGGTGGAGGTACTTTAAACAACATTTGGGCACTTTCTTCCATTCTAGGCCAAGCCTGATATCTCATTTTCCATAAAACTTGAAATCTGAAATATCAAATTGAAAGAAAATGGTAGTATGTATCTACTGAAAAGTAGATTGTCCAAAAGACAACAATAAATATTTTCTATGAACTTGAACTATAATCACTTTTGCATGTAAAATGTTTCAGACTCAAAAAACAACAAATCTCACTATCTTCATTTTGCTACTGCTTTTATAGACTGGTTCACATGTACTTATTTTTCTGAAATTTTACAGACAGGTCCAAGGTGTCTTTTCGGACCTTTCCTTAAACTTTCTAGGTAAAAATACGAATCGAATGACACCTTGGTCATAATTTTTGGACCCGTCTGTAAAATGTCACAAAAATAAGCAAAAAAATGTACATGTGAACCAGAATATTATTGTATGTGAATTATTTATTGATGTTGATTAGTAGAACTCATTAGAGTCTTTTTAGAAACATGATGTTTTCTCGGGATAATAAAGATATATTATTACCTCAAAATCGCATTTATTCTCACTGCACATTCGGGGTGGGACAATCCATGCTGCATGATGTCAGATACTTGCTGAGGTGCTTTCACAGCACCTAGAATGAAAATTGAAGCAGCACAAGCAGTAACCTCTTGGTTCGACTCCAGAAGTAACTCCCAAGCAACTGGTATTATTTCCAGAAAATGCTCATCTGTTAAAATAACGGATCCTTTTAGTAAAACCGCAAGTGGTGCATGAAAAGCATCTTTGACCTGAAAACTGATTAGTTCAAAAAGATGTTGAATTGAGAAATCAGAAATAACCTGTGTTTTGATATATTTCAAAATTGCAGGAGGTTCGCTTGGTTTTCCTTCAGTTGTTGTTTTGGATTCACACCCCGTATCGGAATCAGCAATGTCCCTTGATGAATCCTTGGTAGATTTTCCGGTCTGACTACCATCCAAATTTTTATCGATCCTTAAAAAACGCATTGCCATCAAAATACAAATTGCCAGTAAATACAATTTACCTGTCCTTTCTACCGACACTATCTTTTCTTCTGATTGGAGAAACTGTTGAACTTGTTTGATCAGATACTTTACGATTTTGATTCTTTTCTTTTTTATTTCCTTTTTTCTTTCCACCAAAATCCATAGATAATTTATCCTCCAACACTCCAAATTCTTCCCCATAAACTTTTCTGACAGCTTTGATCAATCTGCTACATCCTCTCATCACCCTCCTATAGCAAAACGGGTGGCAGAAATTTTGATGGGGACAAAAGTAATAAAAAGAGTTCGCTACTTGCACCATCGTCTTTAACCAAGGCATATTCTTCGTGGTATCATCAGCTGTATCGTTGCTATCACTAGGACTTTCTGGAGGTTGTTCGTCACTCAAAACCCCAGGAGATTCTTCCCCACTCACCTCACCTGGTGCTCCAGGCTCTGACGTATCACTCCTGTCAGATATAGAACTCACTTTCCTCTTGGACTGGATGGAATCGGTTCTTTTCACATAATCAGGAATTTTCCCTTCAAATATACTCAAGTTGATTTTAGTACAAACTCAATTTCATGACTCTTACACTCTATATCAGCGCCCTCTTTAGTTCCTCTTCTAAGCTTTAAACTTCTTCTTTTGAATGAACCTCCCGTAGGAGCTGCGGTTCCTCTTCGAAGAATATGAGAGGGTCTTGCAGATTGTTGCTGACGTTTGTTGTCGTCGCCTTGTAAAAAAGCCTGAAACAATAAAACAGTGTCGTTGCGAAGAAAATATCCACAAAAGCAATACCTGCATAGTAACCGTTGTGTTACTGCTTCCTTCTGAACCATTGTCTGGTTCATGAAGGACAAAACTGATTTTTCTTTCTCCTGTCTGACCTGAATCTCTGTCCCCTGCTATTGACTGCAAGCTTTGGGCAGAGGTTTGAGAGTGACCCATGGAAGAAAGTGCCATGCTCCACCTTCTGTTGGCTTCTCGACTGTATAACTTCTCCCATGCAGGAGGCTTTCCTTTATCTATTATTCTGGAAGACTTTGGTAGAGTCTGGTAGGTTTCTCGGAGAAAAGCCGTTATTTCTTGCAATAGCACGCATGCAATTAATCTCAAAGCCATAGGACAAGACGATCCATACGAATTGATGCTTGCTAAGTGAAAAAAACAATTATAATTTGTATAGAAATGTAGGTAAAACCAACAAAAACAATTATAATTTGCTTCTCATTTCGTGTATCCCTACCTTCATCTAAGAAGTCCTCTTCTTCATCTTGAACTAATAATTCTTTTTGTTTCTGTTCATCTGTCACCATTGCAGTAACTTGTGATTGCAAGTTTTTATCTTCATTGATAAGTTCTTCAAGTCTTTGCCCAATTACCTGAAAATTAAAAAAATATTAGTGGCCATAGTTAAAATTTGTATCAACTATTACCTCTGCCCACTGGTAGAACATTTTTCCAGCTGCCCTCTGGAGGATATGGGATCTCCTGATACCGGTACTATTTCCTCTAGCAGGTAGCGGCCCAGATGGTCTGTAGACCGGTATATTGAATTTCATCCAAGACGGCCACTGGCCCTTGTTACAACAATGGACGAAGAAGGAACATTCCAATAGAAGCGCAGCTCTTGCAACGACAGTTGAATGAGGCTGAGAACGCATGAGTAAAAATAATAGAATATATATTTAGGTGAAATATTACCAAATCTAATGATGAAGCTATAAGATGGGAGTCTGGTACTGATCCGGGTGGACAAGTTTCTAACAAAAAAGATAATCTGCACATTCCTTGGTATACGATAGTTGTGGATACCAATTTCCTCTCCTTAAGTACAACAAATTCAGATTCTCTAGATGTTTCTCCATATTCGAAAGAATTCTTTCTGCTGAAATCTAGAAAAATGTCAGAATAAAAATGTATTTTATCCCTACCAACGAATTTTTACATTCGATATGATTGGTTATAATAACAAAACAAAAGAAGAACAAAAAATACATCCACCTAATTATATCTGAGGAATTCATGGTAGGAAACGTAAAATGATCAAATCAATTATTTAATATTAAGCATCCGATTTCTGCATAATACTTTCCGATATATACATCAAAGTTCATGACGTGATATTTCCAAATTGACTTTTATTGTAACTGTGAATAGTAAGACAATATCTACAGTTGCTATCACTGTTAATATATTCATTTTGGTCGGTCTAAGCTGCTATTCGTTGAAAAAGGTAAAACGACGAATAACTTTGCACACATTATAAACGAAAAACTGCACAATCATTCACCCATTATCCATAGTTTTTCCAAAAACATCATTATTCATAATATTTCAATCCCTCACCCCAGATTGTTAATTCGTAACTACAATATACCTACCATTGAATAATTTCTCATACATCGTCCACACAAGTAAAAAACCATTTCAGAAAAATGCATTCGAAGAAAACACTGTTGAAATTCAATGACTACTCACATCCACCAGCTGCTTCTTCCGTACTACCATCTTTCTTTTTCCCCTTCTTCAAAACGAATTTAAATTTGTCCTCCATCCTTCGTTTTGCCTTTTGTATACTCTGGGTTACATTACTGAAATATTTACCCTTCTTCGAAATGAACGAAACAAAATAGATAAAAGTTTACCTTTTTCCAGATTCACGATGCTGATAGTACTTTGAAGATTGCCTCATGAAACTTGATGTATCTGTATATGAATCGCCATTATCTTGATTATCCAGTTCGTCAGCTGAGGAATTTTCCCCTTTCTTGAACCACTTGACTGAGAAAAGTGAGATAGAAAATAACATTATGGAATCATCTGAGTATAACTCACCTATTCCACCTAATTTTGATTTCTTAGATTTGACGGATAGAGTTGGCTCCAAAGCAATCCCTAAAGCCCTTTCGCTCTGCCTAGGCGTGAGAATGTGATGCTTCTTTCTCAAATTTCCCAGAGGACTTTGACTCGCCTTCGGCAATTCTTCAGCTTCTGTTTCGAGCAAACTCTGAAGATACGCGTGACCAGTTATAAATTCAAGTGAACGAAGCGATTTGGTGCTTACCGCGCATGTGGAAGATGTGCTACGTTTCTTAAAAAGCGACTTTCTCACCCCTCTGTCTTCTATAGTGTATGACTGAGTATCCGTAGGGGCATCAGGCTGATCCTCCATCTCTGACTGGTGCATGTGCCTCAGGAAGAATATTTTATCATATTTATATAATTTTTCATGAAAAAAGGCAAGACGTTGACTTGACAAACTTTTGTTTGAATTCAATATTTTATCTTTATTTTCAACTTTCCCTAGAGGGAGTCAGAATAACAAACATTATCCGGGGAGGTACATGCATCTCTTGAAAAAAAACTTCGATGAACATTATAGAGCATTCGAATCATCAATAAAGAAAGGTCTAAAGCAGGGTGACTTGAGGTCCAATGTTACATATTTATGGATGAGAAAGTTTCAATATCTCAAGAAGGTGCATTTGTAGAAGACAAAATCAAAATACTCAAAAAAACAGACAGAAATTGGCAGAAGCAAAAAAACGGCAAGAAAAGAGAAGAAATGGTCAAAATTACCACAGTCCTTTACGATAGGAAGCATACAGCTCGCTAAATGTATTATACTAATCAGATGCAATGATCAAGCTCTCGAAGGACATGTTTGAGGCAATGGACAAAGGTGAAGCAACTTTATGCATTTTTGTAAATTTGGCTGAAGCCTTCGACACCGTGTTCCATGAAAAATTATTGAAAATCCTTGAAAATATTGGATTTAGAGGTATCTCTTCGAAACTCT